TTTGTGCTTGGAAACTGGGATTCGGGTGTGGTCTATGCCTAATCCGGGATCCAGAGGGGAGCATCCTGCAGTGCGCAGGTCCCTTCAAGGGCAGGGGAGGGTTGGTTTGGCTTACAGGCTACTGCATATCATTGAGGGAAGCCGAGGCAAGAAGAGCTCAAGGCAGAAATATGAAGGCAGTTAACTGAAGCGGAGACCACAGAAGAATACCGTTTCCTGGCTTGCTTTCTATGGCTTGAGCTTGCTTTCTTGCACAACCCAGGACCACCTTCGTGGTTGAGGGGGTAACACTGCCTATAGTGGGCTAGGCCCTCCCACATCAAGAAAACACCCCACAGATACACCCACAGGCCAACCTGATGGCAGCCGCTCTTCAGGCGAGGGTCCCTCTTCCCAGGTGACTCTAGTCCCTATCAAGTGAGAAACACTGACCAGCACAGTCATCATTCCCAGCTGATTCTGAAGCAGGTGACTGCCCCCACCCCAGGGTTTAGTTCTAGGTATCAGTGGACAATGACAATTGAGAGAAGTATCAAAATCGTATTAATTCCCAAATGGTTAGTTTGCCTTTTGGGGGGCACCATTCTTAAACAGGAAGAAAAGAATCTATTCCAAGGAGTAGAACAATGACCTTCAGACAATTAGAAGGTTGTAACTACACTGCCAGGAGAAAGCAGGGTAATGGAAAACAATGGAATTTGTGGATTAGTTAGTAATGCTTCGCTATTGCATGGCCAACGAAACCAGGACACCAGATGGCTCACAAAACATTCCTGATGGTGGTGAAGGCACACTGGCTGCAAAGAGGTCAGACCCGAGGCCTCGCTTGTACCACTCAGATTGCATTGGGCAAGACTCTGTTCTGGCCTCGTGAGATTTGCCATCTGAGTGAGCACTTCAAGAAGAACTTTTTAAAGGAATAAATGTTCAATTTTATATTGATACATATGTCTATCTTTCATCTACCAGGCAAACTTCTGCTGGTACTGGAAACAAAGGTGGTTGAGACACAGCCCTGGCTGTCAAGTTCCCTGCAGTGCAGTGAAGACAATTAGCAAAAACAATTCAAGGTCAGTCGTTGTGGTGGTGTGAAAGAAAATGGCCCCTCTAGGCTCATAGGGAGTGGCACTATTAGGAGATGTGGCCTTGTAGGAGGAAGTGTGTCACTGGGGGTGGGCTTTGAGGTCTCAGAAACTCAAGCTAGGTCAAGTGGCTCACACTCTCTTCCTGCTGCCCTCAGATCCAAATGTAGAGCTCTCAGCTCCTTCTCCACCACCATGTCTGCCTGCATGCTGCCATGCTTCCCGCCATGATGATAATGGGCTAAACCTCTGACACTGTAAGCCAGCCGCAATGAAATGCTTCCCTTTAGGAGTGGGGATAAAAGAAAGAAGAAATGCTTTCCCTCATAAGAGTAGTGATAGAAGCCGGGCGGCGGTGGTGCACGCCTTTAATCCCAGCACTCGGGAGGCAGAGGCAGGTGGATCTTTGTGAGTTCGAGGCCAGCCTGGTCTACAGAGCGAGTTCCAGGAAAGGCACAAAGCTACACAGAGAAACCCTGTCTCAGGGGAAAAAAAAAAAAAAAAAAAGAGTAGTGGTAGAAACCCTGACTAAGACGGATATCAAAATGAAGACAAGATGCAAGGCTCAAATGAAGTGTCCAAGAGGAGGTCACCGCAGGAAGGCCAGAGTGTGCCCAGTCTGAACTCACTCTTGAATGCTCAATATTTGACAGGTAAGTTAGGGTGACAGAAGATCAAAAGAAGGGACAAGCATGTGAAAGTGTGGATTTGCACAACAGGTGATTTGGATTGGCTAGGATACTGGATGTTACGGAACCCCGGGTAGAAATTCACATCAGGGTCAAATGTGCTGAAAAAGAAAAACTCTAAGATGTGTTGAGGGACACAGAGAGGACTTGTTTAGGAGATCATTGCGCTGTCGTTAATGATGACTAGTGATGCTGAGAAAGACTGAAAAGCGCAGTGTAGATCCTGACACAGGGATATGAGCTACTCAGAGATGCCTACAGACAGTTGGATAGTACCTAGGACCAGTGGGTTGACAGATGAAAGTCAGGTGACTAGATCTAGAAATTTCTAGATTTGTGATCTATGTGGTTGAATTGCTAGAAAATACTAGAAAAGTTCCAAAAGAGCAATCACAGCTCACGAATTCCGCTCAGGACATACTGGATTTGAGTCTCCTGAGACAGACCAGTTGGGCTGTTTTTGACAGATTACGTATAAAGGCCCGAACTTAGGGAGATAGAGAGAAAAAAAATACAGTTGGGGACAAAGATGATGTAAAGTATTGACATACACAGACAAACACTAGATGCTGACCAATCAAAACAGGTGTTTGAGCCACCTGAAACGATTCTAGCAATTGGGTATGGCCAACTAACCCAGGTTGGCGCTGACGGTCATCAGAAGGATGAGAGATCAGAGGCAGAGAGAAGAGGGAGGCCAGAGGACACTGATAATAATTTGGTGCATTAAAAAAAAAACATTGGTTGGTGCAAAGAGGAGAGAACACGAAGAAGCAGTGGAGGAAAGGTCACAGTGATCAGAGAACTAAGCACCTGCCACACCAGGTAAACTGAGGCAGAGATAGCTTCAAACATAAGTTCCAAGATAGCTGCTGAAGAGACATCTTGGACACCATTTTCCAGGTTTCACTCTTTGGGATACTTGTGTCTACGGAGATCTGCAAGATCCAGGGCAGTGTTCTAGACCTAAGCAACATCAGATTCTAGAAACCCAGAGGATGCATGAAAATGGCCCCCATGGGTTAGGGTTCAAAGAGGAAGCCCATAAGCGTTCTTCTGGGAGGGAAATTCCCACTAGACATGGTGACCCCAACCACACTGAAACTCGAGAGGCTGACATGAAGGGCCACCACAGTCACTCTGGCTATTTCCTAGTATTTCCACAAACCTTACTGGGCCACTCATCTTTCAAAACTCAGTGAGAGGCAGCTTCCCCCACTCTCTCCCTCTCTTCCTCCTCCCTTCCCTCTCCACCCCTCCCTTTTCTCCCTCTTACTTTCTTCTCCTCCTTCTCCTTTTACTCATCTCAAATCTGTATGCTTTCCCTGTATGCTTTCCCTACTTCAGTCTTCCCTCACTGAGTATTTAAAGCAACCCCCTTCACACAGGCGAGCACACTGCAGCAAGTGTTTCCAAGACAGAATGGGAGTATCCTGTACGTTCCGTGCTATTAAAAAGGAGTGGGGAGGAAAAGGATCCGAGCCGAAATGAATACAAAACTGCTTTACAAGAACACACTAGGACTTATCTGAACAAAGGGAGACAGATGCCGTGTAGTTCTCAACTGCGATCGCAGGGAATGCTTATTGAACAACGTGAAAAGATTAGGCTTTTTGAAAGAGGCAGAAAGGTTCTTTGAGCTAAGGTGTGCTGTTATTCGAAGCGCTATGGAAACTAATGTTAAAGTGTGATTTCTATTCTCCGGCTTTTAGGGAAGGGCTGGGTTTTGATAGGCTTAGAAACCAGAGCCCACGCACGCACGCATCCATCGGCCCACAAGACCCTGAGCACCGGCGCCTCTGCCCACGTGTCCATACTATTGCTGTTGGGTCTCCTGAGCCCTGATGTCGTGATGCTCCTCAACCTTGGGCAGCCAGATGCCAGAGGCAGCCACGTGTGGCAGTCTGGCACTGTCCGGAGCATGCTCAGTGGGGTCCGGAGCCACTTCTGCGGGTTCGAGCTGGGAGCTTGCGGGTCACGGGCAATGCTCCGCCTCTGGGTTTGCCGGTCACAGAGAAGGAGGTGGTCTGGGATCGCTTAAACAGCTGCCTGTCTTTTTGACAGCTGTCCCTGACTCAGGGTGAGACACACCGGGTCTGACAGCTGGAGCCACTTAGGAGTGTTAGTTTGCGCAATCCACCTCTCCGTGTTTTCTCAGCAGCCTATGACCAAGCGGGGGGGGGGGGGGGGGGGGGGACGAAGACTAGAGTTACCAAAAAAAAAAAAAAAAAAAAAGCTGGTGTGGGGCGTGGCCGGAGGGGGAGCCTGGTCACTGCCCCAGAAACTGACAAGCTCTCTAAAAGAAATGGTGTGTGTGTGTGTGTGTGTGTGTGTGTGTGTGTGTGTGTGTGTGTGTGTGTGTGTGTGTGTGTGTGTGTGTGTGTGTGTGTGTGTGTGTGTGTGTGTGTGTGTGTGTGTGTGTGTGTGTGTGTGTGTCGGGGGTGGGGGTGGGGGAATCCACTGATACTACAGGATTGTGCAAAGAAAATAAGACTGCAGGATTATGCACAGAAAACTTATGTAGGTGTTAAAAATATTTTTAGAGTCCTTATTTTTCCCACCAAGAAAACAACTGAACTCCTCGTTAGAGAGAACGTCGAAGCTGCAAATAATTTTAAGGGGCGTTTTATAAATTCTCACCCCCCCCGCCCCCGCCTCGGAACCCCGCCACCCGCAAACCCCCTGCTGTGTCTTATCCCAGTCGCTTCGAGGCGTCCGCTGTGCTTTAGGTGTGACAGAGCAGCCTCCGGGAAGGCCCCCCCCCCCCCCCCCCCGATGCCTCGGCTCACGAGGTGGTGTGATCACCTTAGAGACTGGGTAGGTTAATTGGTGGGTGGGCTGGTGGTCGGTGGCCTCCAGGGTGGCGCTCGAAGACGCCTGTTCCTGCGTGTCCTTGGACGCCCCTGCGACGCCGAAGTTGCCGTGACAGCGCCAGCAGCGCCCTGCCCCCCGACAATTACCAGCCACGCCGCCCCAGCACCACCACGTCTGGGGCAAGAGCTCGGGTAAGTCACCTCGGCGCGCAGGAGCACCGCCCGGTGGCCGCCCGGCCCCGCCCAGGGGCGGAGCTCGCTGAGCGTGGCCCGCCCCCGGGTGGGTGGAGCCCGCCGCCCGCAGCGGCCCGCCTCCGCCCTCGGCTGCCCCGAAAACCCGGTTCTGCAGCGCGCACCGGGCCTCGGCACCGCCGGGAGCCGCACTGGGCATGCTCCGCTCTTGCCGGCTCCGGCGCTCGTAGGTGGAAAGCTCCGGCTCCCGGAGGCAGGGCTCGCTGCCGGCATCCAGAAGAAGCGCGGGCGGAGGAGGTCGGTACGCGCTGGGTGCTGCAGACCTATCCCGGTGGCCATGGCGAGCGGCGCACGGCGACCACCGGAGTGGCGCAGCGGTGTCAGGTCAGTGAGGGCACCCCGGGCGGGCGAGCCTGGGCGGTGGGGTACGGTGGGAGCGAGCCCCGCGCCGGGTTGGTGGTCAGCGACCACCCGAGCTGCGCAACTTTAGGACGCCTGGGCTGGCGGAGGCTAGGCGCCTGGAGGTGCCCTTCGGTCCTAGCTCGTGGCTGGTGGTAGGATGCTGGAAATACGGGCAGGGCGGGCACTGCTGGTTTGGGGACAGCCGAGTTCCAGGCTCGTGCCACAACCTTCTGAGGGCCAGGAGCGAGCTGTCTACAGCGCACTGACCCAGAGCCTCTAGGATCTCCTCCCAGGAGGAGGACGCCAGGCAGAGACTGAGGGCCCCACGCCGGGCTGTGTGGATCGTTCGCGTCATGGTGCCTCAGTTTCCCCAGACAGAGAAGGGGGTGTACTGGGCTTTGCCCGGAAGGCGGCGTGGGGAGCCCCGAGGGCGCCGCGTCCTGATGCTGCAGGAGTATGGGAAGCAGCGGGTGCTTAGAGCCGCCTCCTGGGCACTGGAGCTCTTGGAGTTTGTCGCAGTTGACACCATAGCAAGTTGACACGGAATTGCCTCGTGGCCTGGAATGGGGAAACGTGCTTCTTTGGCTAAAAGAGCAAATGTAGAGCCAGTTCGTTTGAAACCTGAGCGTGGCTGGTCTTCCTCTCTAAAATGGCCTGAGATTGCAAATCCCAAGGTTTATAAAGCAAACCAGAAAAAAAAAGAAAAGAAAATGTTCGCAGGTGCTTTGAGCTGCTAATACTGTAGAAAACATTATGGTTCAGTTGTGATTGTTTTGAACGACACTTGTTCGAAGTTTGGTTACTGCAGCAATCTTTATTTTCCTTTGGCTTTATATTAAAAACTTGGAAACGGCACTGCAGAAACGCAGTGGGTTTTTAAGTTTTCTCACTTTTTTTTTCTAGATGAAACACTTTTTTTTGTTGCTACTATACTCAACATAGTAAAATGTTCAGGATGAAATATGCAAGACAGAAAAAGAGTTATTTTCAGGAGAGACCAAATTAGAGCAAGGTAGTTTGCAGACATTGGACTAATACACAAAATGCAATTTGTACGCCCCCCCCCCCCCCCCCCCCCCCCCCCCCCCCGCAACTTCACTGTTTTGTCCTACAGCTACCCTTATACATCCATTAAAATATTTACAAGTTTGAGGAACCCAGCACATGAGTGGCTACACTTCCTGGTTCTGTACAATGCATCACATTTAAAATCTACAGAGCTACACCTTGTGCTGTTTAGATAGAAATAGGTAGAATCTCTCTTTAGCCATGCTTTCCTGGCCCGTAGCTGGAGCCTGAGCCTCTGCTTACCTTATATGACTCTGGAGTTTCATATAGACTAATGGGCCTCCATCTGGTTCTACAATTAACCAAGTGTTCTCAGTGCTAGGAAACACAATGAAATCTAACCAAAGGCTGGTTTACCCAGTGCCCTGAAAGTCACAAACTCTACTTCTCACAACCTTACATTAACAAAACCAAAGGAGTTAGGTTGGAGAGTGTTTTATTATTACTAATGAAGAAAAACAAGAAAGGGGACTTTGTATTCAAGTGACAAAACAGATAATAATCTCTCCTTCCTGCTTAGCCTCTGGGTCCTCAAAGCTTGACTTCAGAGCACTTAGGTTTTAGGAGTGTTTCTGTGTTTGTATTTCTGCACCCAATTATTTTGCTAGTGGCACTATATATACACGTAATAGACCATTTACTTTAAAAATAGATCCCCCCACATTCATGGGACCTTAATTTATTTGCCACCCCCCCCCACCTTGGCTTACAATTAAAATGTTTAAGGCTATTTAAGCAATACAGCTATTGCTTAATTTGTACTTTCAATAATTTTTTTTCAAGAACTTCCAAACACTTAAATGCCAAGTGACTGCTGCTGTGACCAGTTGCTTTCAATCTCTAACCAATCCAGTTAATGTCGTTAGGCAAGTGTGTTTGTCCGAACTCAGGAAACATGTACATAGTAGCACGTCCTAACTTAGAATTGATCCTAGCACTTGGGCTACGAGTTGTCTTTTCTAGCCAAGCCCAGGGGAGCACTTATAATTTTGGCAGTTTCCATGGCCGATCACATTTATAGTTAAAATCAGCATCAGCATTAAGGTGCAAATGGTTGGTTTTAAATTTCCTATGATACCTCCCTGGAATAGTTAAAAGAATGGGGGTTAATTGGTTATGTGATCATAACTAATTAAGGCTGTCAGAGTCATTTAACAGTTATGCTCCAAACAGAGGCTCTGTAGATTTATTGGTCTTGCCTCTGCCTCCCCTCCTGAGGTCTCTTCATGCCTTAAAACATCACATTAAATTTTCTTCCCCACCAACTTTTATGGTTAGGCTTCTGAAGCTGCAAGGATGAGTAAGACATCGTGACTCACTGTCTAGTTGGAGTGATGTGCCTGAAGTCGAGTCAATTAGAGCACAAAACAAGTGTTGCAGTCCATGTATGTGTGTGGGCCTGAGGAGGGAGAGAAAAACTGACCTCCTTGGGTCTGCAGGAGGAAATGGTGACTTTGCATAGACTCTCAGGAATATGGAAAATGGGCTGAGAGCCTTTAAAGCACAGAAGTGGGTCCTCTCTAGGAAAGGAACCTATTAGGATGGGCAGAAAAAATGCCTCCTATGCATGATGGCGATGAAACTTTCTGGATATGATGAAGAAAGAGCCTTGAGATGGGATGATAATTCGGTATTGTCCACATGGGCTCTGTGTCTTCATGGGGCTCTTTGAGGCTAAGGAAGAATGTAGAGGTGTCTTGAGAAAGCTTCCACTGCCTGCTGCTGGCTTTGAAGATGATAGACAATGTGGGCAGCTGCAAAAGCAAGGGTACAGATTCTTCCTCTACCCGGGCCTTGAATCCAGCCCATTAAGATACACGGGCGCCGGTTAGTTTTTATTGTCAGCTTACACAACCCAAGAGGGAAGAGCAATGTAAAGCATTGCCCAGATGAGATTGGCATGTGGACATATCTATGGGGCATTGTCCTTTTTTTAATTTTATGAATTATGTTATTAAGAAAACTTTGCAAATAAAAAAAAATCAAACACCCAAATTAACTGTGAGTACAAAATATATTCTATACTTGAAGTGTAAAATGTAATAGGGAGCTTCACAGCTTCTGTTTCAAATGCCAGTTCTAAATGTACAGAAAGGATAAACTTTGGTCTGGTTAATTTGGACATTTTCTTGATGACTAATTGATAGGAAGGCTTAGTCCACAGTGGGGTGGGAGGCGCTACTCCTCAGCCAGGAGGGCCTGAGCCCTATGCAAAGCTAGTTGAGCATGAGTCAGAGTGTAAGCCAGCAAGCGTGGTCCCCCATGGTTTCTGCTTCAAGCTTCCGATTGAGTTCCTGCCCTGTTCAATGACAGACTGTGACCTGGAAGTCAGAGCCAAATAAACCCTTTCCTCCCCATGTTTTACAACAGAAAGGAGACTAGAACGTGAGGTGAATTTCCAAGCCCCAGAACAATAAGATAAGGAGTGTTGTGTAAAGTCTCTAAAACCGTGGTAATCTGTTGTGGAAGCCATAGAAAGCTCATGCCTCCATACACAAAGGAAAATTTGGTGTGATGAGACAGCAGGCAGAGACAGGGGAAGGGCCATCAAGTATTCCCTTCACAGTGATGAAATCCACTAGACACAAAGGAGCTTGGGTTACATCCCACTATAGGTAAACAGTGGGAAATGAGCTTGGGGTTTTAAAATAATATGAAATGAACAGTTTGTTGGCCGGTCTTAACTGCCAGCTTGACAAAATCTGGAGTAACCTGGGAAGAGAGTCTTCATGAGGAACCATATAGATCATGTTAGTCTCTGAGCATGTCTGTGAAGAACTGTCTAGAGTGTTAGTAGGAAGACACAGCCCAGTGTGGGTGGCACCATTCCCTAGGTGTGTGTGTGTGGGGGGGGGGGGGGGTTCTGAACAGTATAAGAAAGGAGAAAGCTAGCTGAGAGCAAGTGTTAATCTCCCTTTGCTCTGACTCTGGGTATGATGTGATGAGCTGCTGGGGTCTCTGCCTTGACTTCCCTGAAATGACAGATTGTAACTGGAGATTGTAAGCATAAATAAACCCTTTCTTTTTTTATCTGGCTAGCTGTCACAGCAACAGAAATAAAACTAAAACAGAAGTGTTTCTGCCGGGTTTATTTTCCTTAAAAAAAAAAAAAGCCAGATGTAGCTATATTAGTTACCTTTCCTTGCTGTGAGGAAACACCATGACTAAACATGACTTACAGAAGAAGGAGTTTATTTTGGCTTATGGTTCCAGAATGAGAATCCGTAATGACAGGATGGATGGCAGCAGGCGGCTAGAGCAAGAAGCTCACTCGTTACATCTTTATCCACACACCGGAAACCAAGAGTGAACTGTAAACAGGGCAGGGCTACAGATTCTCAAAGACTTTCCCACTGGTATACATCCTCCAGCAAGGCTCTACCTCCCCGCAACAGCACATCCAGCTTGAAACCAAGAGTCCGCATACCTGAGCCCATGGGTAAAACCACCACACTAGCTAAACCAAACTTCACAGGTCAGATTGATGAAGGCAGTCTAACCAGAGGTTGTCGGTGGCCGGTCAAGATCTCTGAAAATAACATTATTCCTATGTATTTGTGTAATAAGTAGTTGTTTTTTTTTTTTTTTGGTTTTTTTTTTTTTTTTTTTTTGGTTTTTTGAGACAGGGTTTCTCTGTGTAGCTTTGCGCCTTTCCTGGAACTCGCTTTGGAGACCAGGCTGGCCTCGAACTCACAGAAATCCGCCTGGCTCTGCCTCCCGAGTGCTGGGATTAAAGGCGTGCGCCACCACCGCCCGGCAAAACTGAAGTGGAACCCAAGTGTCTTTTTGTTTGTTTGGTTTGTTTTTTATTTTTGAGAAAGGGTTTGGTTGCTCTGTGTAGCCCTGGCTGTCCTGGAACTCACTATGTTATGTAGACCAGGCTGGCCTTGAACCCACAGATCTGCCTGCCTCTG